TCGCACGGGTGCATTTTATTATACTTTTTTTTTTGGTACCGGGGGGGAAAATCTTCAAAAGATCACTTTACATGACAGGGTTATGTGGGGTTCTTACCCACTAAAACCCCCTCGGTGGCCGCCTTCTGTACATTTAGAGGGACTCCGGGATCTCCCATGGAACGCACCGGTGTCCCTCGGCACTACGTCTGAGCACACCTCGGAGAAGGATAAACCTTCTCCGATCCCCTCACCCTCTTGCAGCAACACGAGACGACTTCGTGCTGCTGCCCATCCGTGTCCCCTTTTAGTCGCCTTTTACGACAGGCAGGGGATACCTTAGCCCTATTCTATAAGCCCGGGACTACAGGGCTGACGGAGCGGCTCGTCTGTTTCTACCACCCGCGCGCCTTCGTCTCCGAGCGGGGTCGGCCCTCTCCCGTTCCCGCTCAGCGATCTCCTTCTGGAGCATGACTGCTTCGCAGAAGGAGATCAGTGCCGTCCAAGCAGATTTCTCCATCAGTGCAGCCGCCACTACAACTGGTGGAGAAAGGTAGTTTTAAAGATCTAAGCATACGTAGGGACAGACAGACAGCAGGACGAATTTGTTTTATACTATGTACTGACTTACTAAAGTTTCTTGAAATGTTTTTGGGAAATATGCGTGAAATACATGCAAGCATAGGACGTTATGGGTCATATAAGAAAAATGTACGTATACCTTAAGGGTATTTGATAGTGGGATTTGTAAAATTATGGAGTTAGCCCGATACGAATACGGCTCTATTATTAACTTTTTTGACGGGAGTATTAAATAACATTTTGAATTCGAAAGTGGCCCCTACAATACCTATGTGTTTGGCCGCAGTGATGGACCTTATCTTCCAGTTCTAGCAAGAGAGGTTAGAATTTTCAATGATAACAGATGTTTCAGTTGTCTATGGATCTTATTTCCTGAAAACAATATCAGGAATGGAACTTGCGATGAAAATTTGCTGTTAAATAAGCTTAATCTTGTTTATTAAACCTGTCAGTTAAAAAACTATTGTCAGCAAGCTAACCTACACAACTACAAAACACACGGTCAGACAGGTGGACAAGAGAGTGATCTTATAAAGGTACCTTTTTTACCATTTAAGGTACCGAACCCTCAAAAACTATACTAGAGGAGAGTAACCAAATATGGGCTACCATTTTGTTTTTGCCTCAAAAATAAAAAACTATTAAAAAATTTACCATTTATTGACGTCAAAATAATTACACATACATTTTTAAAAAACTAATTAACAATCTTATATTCTTAATATTATAATATATTATTAAATTGAGCATTAAACAAAATATCAAAATAGGCGCTAAATATGGAACAGGTACTCAAATATGGGCTACAAATAGAAACTTAAAATATCTTGTACAAAAATAACAATTATAAATATTTATCTTATAAGAGATCAAATTACTTTGGTACATGGAAGAAATCACATAATTACTTACAAAAATCACATATCCAGGTGTCAAACTCTGGCCCAGCACAGTCATTAGGTATGTGCCCAGAGCTTACACATTACACATCTGACCCACAATTTTCCTGCCGCGTTTTCGGAAAAAAGTTCCTGACAAAACATACACGCTGTGTCGGCAGTGTCAGGAGCCTCTCTTCCTTTAGGGGCATCTGGTTCACTATCTGAATCAAATTGGATATCTTCTTCAACTTCAAGTTCGTCCTTGGCTTCTTTGCTTTTGCTTAGGTTTCTTATCTTTTATTTTATTCTCTTTTTCAATTTTCTTCTTATTTGTTTGAATAAGATCATTTTTATATGGAGATGAAGTTATAAGCGAGGCCACAGCAGCTTTTCTACCTCTATTAGTTGTCTTTCTGACTTTTTTTGGCATGGGACTTATGTCATAAGGAGATACTAAACCTAGAATGCTACGATGAATTCCGGAAGACGAAGGTTGACAGTTATCTGTTGGATCATGTGCTGTTCCAGAAGTAGATTCGTCTGTTTGAATCTCAGACCTTGACCATAGCCCATATTCAGGACCATAGTCATAGCCCATATTCGAAATTCTTCACTAAAATCAACTTAATCATATACTTTACAAATCATAATAGCAAGCAATAAATCGACCGAAAATCATAGAATTAAACTTATATTCTGCAATAAAACACATAGTTATAGTATTTAAACCTAATTTTCTTTCATTAAATAACACTTTGATACGTAGCGCAGAAAATTTTTCGACAGCAGCAACACAAGTATGGCCAACACTGGCGACAACTTGCGCGCGAATGACGAGAATGAGTGAGTGCGATATTAGAGCGAATGAATGCGATAGACGATCGTCGTTTGTTGAGTCTTTCGATTGTAGGTTTTCGAGAATTGTTACTAGCCCATATTAAAGCACTAGCCCACATTTAGTTACTCTCCTCTACTCATAATATACTGCAACATAAATCATGCTAGGATAATAATATAAATTCTTCCTCTTATGACTGAAATGATTACTACTTATTGAAAATTGATTACTAATTTTTTGAACATTGATTTAAAAACAGCAAACCTATTAAGAAAAAAAAATGTAATACCTATAGGCTTTTTGTAATAAGCATTTAAGAAAGCTAAAAAATATTATATATTTTTGTACCCATATACATATATTATTATGACTTATTGACAAATTAAGACCCCATGTTTTCTTTTCTTTATAATGAAATAATTTTTTTATTAAATTAGAGGAAAAGTAGCTTGAAGTTTAACATTATTTATAAAGGTAAGAAAATAAATGTTACCTATGTCGAATGTGTTTTTGTTTGGTTTGTTCTACAATTATCTAGCCAAAAGACAATGAACTTATTATAAATTACAGGCAGGAAACTCCGACGGAGGAAGCGCCGCGCCTTATACGAACTTCTACTGTACACACAACAAGAAGACGCCTGTCTGTACACGGCAAAGTTCCTTCATTACCCTTTTTGCTATGCCACTGTCGCATTTTGAGCCACAACTGTGTTGCTGGCCGACCAGCTAATCAATCAATCTTTTTACTGCACGGCTCGTACGCCAAAAACTTCAGTGTTGTTTTATATAATAAGGCTTAATACTTAATACGAGTTTTATGTTTTCATTGACATTATTTTATTAAACTTTATCAGAAGTAGGAATATTTGTGCCAATAGAACTCTTAGAAAACGTTTAATTAGTTGGAATAGTTCACAGGCGTAGCCAGACCTTAGTATATATCTCGGGGAGTGCAAGAAAAAAAACAGCAAAAATGAGCATGAAGTGAGAGTTATAGTGTTGAATATTGTGTATAAATATATTTCGATTTTCATTAAATTACCTAAAAAAATTTCGTTCCGTATCTGAGCAATTGACCATCTAATTATAAAAAATATATATCAATTGAATATTATTATTTGTAGAATATCCCTCATATAACGATACTCAATAGACAAGTCTGTATCGAGGTAACCTTGTCCAAGCTCGCATGATACATAAAGAATCGTACGAGTACTTCGGCAATGAAGCATGCTTACTAAGGCAATAGTTTAAAAAATATTCCAATCGAAAAGAATGCTATTATAATTATGATATCTACATAATATGTTTTTATGTATGATGTATGAGGTTGCCTAGAAGAAATTGCTACCTTAGCAATAAGGCCACATGTAATATGTACACTATGTTTCTTGTATTTTCTTTCTATATTTTTTCTTGTATGCATAAAATATACTCAATTATATTCTATGAATACTGCCTCGAGAAGGCAAAAATGGCCTATATGGAATTTACACAGAATACTTAACTCGCAAGATGTTCCTTTTTAGTCGCACTTTGGCAGGAACAGCGGAGTATTAGCGATTCAGCGCAATTATGGTCCTTTTTCACGTTATATATTACACAGAAGACTAAAACCAAGACTAAACCCTGGCTGCGAGAAAAAACCCATGTCATTCGAGATCATATCATCGACCTGTACACGAATCCACACGCCGCCTTTAAAGAGTCCACACGATAGTCCATCATTGGGGCCCATAATGAGAAACTTTATTTTTGACATAAAACTTCTTTACGAACGCATGTCTTCGAGAGTAAAGTGAATAGTCTTGACAAGCGTTACAAAAACTGTGATCGAGCGAGGCGAATATAATTTTAGAGGGGGATATAAGTTCTGAAGATAGAAAGAGAGAGAGTTACGTTTTGTATATTACTCTCTTCCTCTCATAGCCAGTGCATGATTTATATATATATATATATATATATATATATATATATATATATACGCAAACGGTAATTTCTTGATTATTAATTTATCAATGAGAACCTATAATTTATTTAAATATTTGTAGAAAATGACTGTATGTATATGTAAGTACATATAGGGAGCTAAAAAAAAGTTTTTCTTCAGTCGTGTGGTCTAAATTGCACTCGTTTTTTGTATAATTTATAGTAACTCCTAACCTACGAATGTTGCAGGTCATTAAAGTCTAAGTAAAAGTCAATGTATCTTCAAAAATATGCAATTTTGATGGAAATAAAAACAAATTACATAATGTAATAAATTGCATCTATAATTATTTTATAGCTAAAGATAAGTTAGCTAAATTAACAATTTGGATAGGTATCTGTTTTAATGTAAAATAACTGTGGCCACGCAATATCGATTAAAAACTACAGCACTAAAAAGAAAAGATTTTACAGGTAATTTATTTCATGGCATATATTTTATTAATACTAACCAAGGTTATTAGGTTAATACGTCATCAACGACTACTATAAAATTATGTCTTGATTTTCATGATAGCATACAGTGCTATATCAAAATCGATTTTAATAAGATTTAAGTTTTACTGTCTGTAGTGTCTGTCATTCGCGTCTTCCGATGACGTACAACTCAACGTCTCTATTTAAATAAGCCGGCCGGTAAAATTTCCAGAGAGTGGCGTGAGCGTGTCTGGTTGCGTCGCGTGCTAACGTGGTTTTCGAGTTAACGATTTAAATTAAAACTTTTCCAAAATGAAGGGCGACAAGAATGTAGACATTCAGGCCCTTAAGGATATGGCCAATAAACTCAGAATCGACAGCATCATTGCAACAAATGCATCAAAATCCGGGTATGTAATTTGAGGTTATCATTTGCTGTGCTACCAAGGTCTAATGAAGGTTAGGAATTTGTATAGCCATCGCTTATTAGATTCTTATTTATGCAACTAAATTACCATGAATACCATTTATTATGCTATACTACCATTGTGGTGACTTGCAATTAAAGCAAAATTTAGAAACGTTAATAGTTATAACTTTCCATGCTGCCTTATAACGAAAAAATAACAGGTTCTAATAAACTTGCCTTTTTTAGTTGAACTTTTTATAAATTATTAATTGTCACATGGGTTTGGCTTGTTTGTTTCTGTTATTTTTAATAAATTTCTCTACCTCTATACGATCCATATTTTCAAATAATATAATCGAAGTGAACAAGAATTTAAACATTACTTCGATTATCTTTTAGAAATTACATTAAAACTTTTTTTTTACATAGGAACATTAAAATTAAAATGTGGATTCTATAATGAAAAGTAAAATTTTATTCATATAAGCATGAAAGTATTATATTTTTATTAAAATGTAATATACCTATATTCATTGAAACTAAGTCATAATAACACATTAATGCTTTAAATATTGTGTTCACAACCATTTAATTTCTATTATTACATATATCTATAAAACAGCTTAATTACAATAAAAAACTAAGACAAGAAAAATTTATTGAGGAAATTTTATTCATATAATATGTATGACACAGCATAAATCATGAAGTTGTTAATATTAAGTAACAAGAAAATGAGGAAAATGGTCTTTGGACACAATAACATGTTTAGCAGTACACAAACTGATTTATTTTGTAATATTTTTATCTCACAACTTTGATGTAGTATTGGGGACCATTTCAGCAATACAAGATATTCACCACCGGCTTGTTAATTTAATGCTTCTGAGCTTACAAACACTTCAGCCACAGTTTTCACCTGAGGGCCCAACTGACTTTATTTGGTTTTAAGGTACTAAATATAATATCAATTGATAATATTAGCAAATAGAACTGTCATGCTACTTAATATTTTTGTTACATACATTAGCTCATGAAGTTTATCTTTAATTTTTAGTGCTATTCACTGCACCTAAGGTGAAACTTAAAATGTGTAGATATATTGTAGAAATTGTCTTAGGTTAAAAAAATTAAAGTATAATTTTTTTTTAATTTAATTACTTAGGTCACTAGGTCTAGGTGGGTGACCTCGAAAGCATATATGAATACTGCCCGAGGAAAAAATAAATTGAAAATTTTTCTACACATTTAAAATTACATTAGCTTTCTTTGGTTTTGTTACATCATGGTCTTTAAATGTATGTTTCTTTGATCAATAGTTATGTTTTATATACAAACTAGCAACAGCTTATGGTTTTAATCAAATGTAGTGAGTGCCCTTATTTGACATTTGAGTAGATTAGAATTAGTGCTTGCGTATATAGAAAGAAAAATATTATATATTTTTAGAAATATGTATAGATTCATGTTCAGGATGATATTTTCTTGACCAATATTCATTAGACTCGTAATGTAACATCAATTGTGTCTGCAACCAGGACTGCCTCCTAATAAGCGTAATTTTTTTAAAAAAAAAAATTAATAACGGTTTTTAGTTATCGTTTGTTTTATAATATTACAAAAATGTTCTTACCAAATATATAATTAAATCTATTTAATTCTGTTGCTATATATTGTTAATGCTAAAATCTTTTTTTTTTTTTTTTTCTGTAGGAACCTGGTAGTTTTACTGAAAATGTCAGAAAGATAGATACACAAGTTTAATTTGCACCTCACTCTCTTTGGAACTGGGAATGTATATAATATGTAAAGAATTAAACAAAATAAAAATAGACCATAACAAGTCTCTATTTCTTCGTTTTGGTGAAGAGTCAGCCACTTGCCATGGCATCGCCATTCTTTGTCTCATACTGATGGTCTACCAAGAATTTCGGATTCAGTAAATGCTGGTTACTGTTAGTCCAATTATAGATAGACTAGATCCCAGAAAATATGTATTGATCATTGGTTGTTGGTTTTTTAACAGACTTCAAAAAAGAAAAACGTTTCTCAATTCGACCGTATATTTTTGTTTTTTTTGTGTGTTCGTGGATAACTTCGTCGCTTATGAACCGATTTGGATGATTCTTTTTTGTCGGAAAGGAGATATCCCAAGGATGGTACAATGATAAGGAAACCGAAATCTGATGACATCCCAGAGAAATTGAGGGCCATCATTGAATGTTATAGGTATTAACAATGTTCTTAATTTTCGCATTGGAGTCGGTATTTTTTTTTTGTTAAAAATTATACGTTGTGATATGTCGATTCATCTTAAAACCATTACAACAATGTGTTAAAACTGTAGTATGTAGATCAAAGTTAGAAACATCAGGCATGTGACCCAGGGAGATGATAGTAATTATGGATTTCCACATCCACACGATTTGCGTTGTGTGCTTTCACACCCAGTCTTCTTTATAAATGTTTGTTTAAATGTCTGTCCAGAAAGTTACATCTACTATTCACATTTACTTTACATTTTATATTATAATTTTGCGCCCAAAACACGCACGTGATTGCAATTAATAGAAATATTCAATAAGTGATTGTGATTTCAAAATTTAATAGTTTTCTCGGAAACAATATGCAGTAGTAAATTAACTCCTTATTAAGACCTTTGATTTTTATAAACAACAGATCGTGTAAACAAAATCAGTATACAAAAAAGACCACAGGCGTATTTAAGCGGAAACTAAAAGAGAATATTTTTAATCAATCAATCAAAAATCTTTATTCAAATAGACGCTTGCGCGTTCTTATGAATCGTCAAATTTTACATAAAAAATTATATTGTATAGGTTCGTAAGGTACCAAGAGGGTCAATAAGTGGTTTGTGTCTAGTAACAATAGGAAGTGATTTTTTTTTTTGATACAATGGCCTAGTTTTCTCCAAATCATTCCAAATGATACGAAAGCCAAATAGTACTTAATGTAGAAAGCGTTTTATTTATACAACGCCTTAGTTTTCTCCTCGCTAATCGGTCCAAATGTCGATTCGCGAAATCGTATTTAATGTAAGTCTGTAATGCACTGACATTCATTACGCACTGACTTACCTTATCACGTGTGTCAATGTAAGTGCAAACAATAAATCTGTTTGTCGTACTCGCAGCGAACTACCTTGTCGCCTGTGGCCAGTAGCATTCATACAAACTTTCAACCGACTACAAAAAAGGAGGTTCACAATTGGGTTGTATTTTTTGTTTATTACTTCAGACTACGGTGCTTCATGGACCGATTTTAAAAATTCTTTTTTCGTTGGATTCGGCTGAGCTTCCACGTGGTGCCATATTTATTACAATGAAATTGGATCTTGGAGTATACATATATCAAACATCTCCTTAAAACCAAATAGAAAATGTGTTGTATGAGATATTTTAAGTTGTTTTTGTTACTACAGTTGTTTTACTTGAATACACATTGTGGTTTGGCACACTTATATCCAAAGAGGGTAGGTAGACATCATCATCATCATCATCATCATCATCATCATATCAGCCGTAGGACGTCCACTGCTGAACATAGGCCTCCCCCATTGACTTCCACTTCGACCGGTCGTTAGCGGCCTGCATCCAACGCGTCCCTGCGATCTTGGCTAGGTCGTCCGTCCATCTTGTGGGAGGCCTTCCTACGCTGCGTTTGCCGTCACGTGGTCTCCACTCGTAGGTAGACATAGCTAACAATAATTTACTGTTCACGAAGCTTTTATAATTGTTTAATTGATGACGAGTAAAATGTAATATAGTGGTAAATGTTATGTAACGTATGGGTAGAAAACAAATAAACAGACCTCGCTCATAACTAACATCCCTTAGACAGTCATTTTGAATTAACATTATTTAGTTTTCACGAATACTACACATGCTTAAAAACCCTTTCATTATTGCAAAGGCATTAGTAAATATGTAGTTCAGTTAATGCTATTTAGATACAATCTTTGATTGCATGCAACAAGATTTGCAATTACAATCGTCTGTCGTTACGTCAATTCAGCCTCCCGTGACGATCATTAAAGTCTCGTTTCGTATATCCTACACGGAAACTTTTCTGTGGAAAATACTAGCTTGGCTGTCACTAAAAACCGGATTAGTCCTTGGACATGTGACTCCTGCCTAGGCTTAGTCTGAATAGATATCAAGTTCTCCACGCCATTGTTTAAACAGGTAAGCCGGTTTATACAATTGAAAACCGGCAACGTTAACAATTATGCTTTTGTATTCTGCATTTGTCTGTACTTTTGTTGATTTGTTAAGCGAACTGACATTTTGTTTTATTTTAAATGAAAAGCGAATAAATCTTTGTATATTTCCTTTTGTATGTAGAATATTTAATTGATACATTCCAATCTGTTAATTTTTTCTTGGTATATCTAAATACAATCCTATCGGTTGTATGATAAGTTTATTCGTAATTTTTAGAAGGAATATTTACTTTCTTCTATTCGATAATAAAATCTATGTATTTTAATTGAAACTCTTATGTGGCTGTCTCCAGATGCCATTTGACAACACAAATCGCGCGTTGATAAGACTGACTATTGAATAATTTAATCTGCAAATGTAGCACGCGATAATACGATGTCGATGTGCAAAAATATTATCGTGGTAACTTTTTATTCGGGTCACGGCCACTAACATATACCTATATATTGTTATCTTTTAATTATGTTTATAGTGCACTCAAGATGAAATTTAAATACGAGTTTAATAGATCAATATAGAACAATTTTTGACGCTGCATGGATTCGAACCTGCGTTGTCCTCGTATTGCGTCTAAACTTTCTAGCCGATTGTGCTAAGTACACGACATCTCCGCGGAGCGAATATCATTACAACCATCGATTATTTTGCAATATGGTTTTATTTTGCAACCAGATTTAAAAAGATAAATAGGTTTAATGATACCCAGATTATCGGTGATTAAATACTCTTTTATTTGGTTTTGTGTAAAATTATGATATATATACGTACCTAACGAAAATGTTTTCTATCTATTTAATATATCTAAATTTTTATAAATAGAGTTAAATCATTTAATAGTATCAAGCTGAGATTGTGTCACTTGTAGGATTATTAGGAGAAGCTAATTTGTCAGTTCAATTAGAAATTACAGCCATCTTTAGACGATCGTCGATTGTTTAAAAACATTACCTCAACATAAAATGACCTGGCCGTACTAGAAAGCCAATTTATGTTATGAACAAGGTACGTAGAGAAACAATACATCAAACAAACGCTTAGGCCCGCGCTAAAATCCAATCCACGAAGCGATACTGAAACTTAATAACACCTTCAACAGAACTATCGGATAACCGTTGTCATATTTAACGTCATTCCATAGTAAATTTCGGAAAGAATTGAAGGTAATTAATGCTGCCGTCTACCTTGTGTGGATAAGGCGGCGTGACTTTGCCATCTCCGACTCCACAATACAAGTACTGGGTTACTGGGTCCCGTTGACTAAATTATTTCGGTTCTTAGTCGTGTGGTGATCAACTTTCACCTTCCGCAGCCACCCCACGTCATGCGCGTCGATGGCGGAGATCATGTCGGTGCTGTTCTTCCACACCATGCGCTACAAGGTCTCCGCACCGAAGGACCCCTCCGCCGACCGCTTCGTACTCTCAAAGGTGGGAAAGTCAACGCATTATTATATACAGGATGATTTTATAGACGACGGACATATTAACAGGGCATATGCAGAATTTGATTCTAAATCTGAACTTGTGATCTCGTTTTTTTTTTTTTTTTTTTCAACGATTGTTTAATTTTTTTTAAAACAATATGGGCAGTGGACACCTCTAAGAAATTCCTGCCTTACCGGCTCAATCTCAACACAATAACCTATTCATGAGCACTAAAACTTCGCCGTACGCATAATTACTAAACCGCTGAACAATATGAAGTCCAGTTGCCTGGAAAAAATTACTCTTAGTAATAAGGCCGCCCATTGTACCCCTCATTTCTACATTAAGTAAAACAAACAAAAATTAAAACTTGTTTTAAAAAAAATTAAACAATCTTTGAAAAAAAATACGTTAAAGTATATTCATTCATTCATTCAATATGGTTGACAACTCTTAACCGGATAAACAAACAATGTTTGAATTGATATTTTTCTGGTTACTTATCGAAATTAAATTTTAATTTTTTTCTGAATAATGGAATGCTTAATTAACATTATGTCAAAGTATGTCTTCGTCTGAAAAATCATCCTTTATAACTTAACTATTTATTGCGCTAGGGTCACGCAACAACTTCTGTAGTACGAGTATGCTTTTTATACTAGCTTCGTAGTAATAGTATTATACCTTTGCGCTATTGGATCCCCACTGTTTTGAAGGTTGGCAAATCTACAACCCATCTTATTTTATACATGAATCAGGTGAACCGCTTGCTAGCAAACTTCACATTGTGATGGAAAATTTATCTCCACGTCAAGATAAATGGACGGTTGCATCACCGCTTGTATCGGCTGTTATGCTAATCGAGCATCAACCGTGATAAAAAGACGTATGTTCACACACTTAGGCCGTACAACGATAGAAGCGTTACAAATGTTTTTTTTTTTCCATTAGACAACAAATATTCGTCTACTATTCCGTATTCGCCCGAATACCGAATATCACGGTACTATTCGGCCGAATGCTGAATACTTGGTAATATCTTTTGTCGTAGACAAATAAGTGGTATAACGAAAATTTTGATATGTTTTATGAAAGTTAAAGAAAATAATTCAATTATCTTGTAATAATAAAAATATTCAATTTTGAAAAAAGTTTTTCATATTTTACTTTTGAAGTGGAAGATTATGGTGGGAAAGGCAATTTTTTCTAAATATTTAGGTATGAACATATTGGTGTCTTCTTTCTTATGAATTCAGCAAGGAATATCTGGCTGATAATTCGGAGTGCGGCGTGTCTCTGAATGTACTCATTGCAAGTCTATTTTTTTAATAATATATGGATCTCCAATATGTCACAATTAACGTCATCACGATCGCTGTAACAGCATGATTAAATTTTAAATCTCATTGGACCTTTTAACTATGAAAATCGGAAACATATTAAGAAATTAATTATGTTACTATAATAATAATATACCTAAAAAGGCTGATAATGAGTTGAGTTTTTATATTTTGATTTAGGTCTTACGAAAAATGCCCCTAACATTAATCGTTTCATTAAATCATTTTAAAACGTAAAGTTAGCAGTATTTTTGAAATGTAAAGCTGAATACCTACTAAATTCATCCCAATTCAATTTTTTGTTAAACTAAACATCGACGTAAGATGACATTGCTTCGGATAGTTTGAGTCGATGTATAATAGTGATAACGCAGTTGAATGTCACGAACTTGTCATCTTATCGCTCGCTTAAAGCACAAATGTTGCAAACTTATAGTTTTTTGATATGTAAAAAATCTTAAAAAAAAATGGGTGCTATTGATATCAATGATTTTTCTAATCGATATCGATTACATTATTGGATATACTGATAATACTGGATATTGCACTTTACGCAATAATAAATGGGTTTTTAATTAGTTAGTTGCCAAAAGCATAAACTCTCTGAGTTGACCAGAATGATCTTCTTAATGATGAGAATGACTCTTAATGAGTTGACATCAACTATATATGATCAGTGTTCTGAAACCGGGCGTCAGTATTATAAAATAGCAATACCGAAGAGGAAGCATAACTGAATGAACAATTCAATCGATAGCATAGCACCCAATGAGTTCGTTTAATTGTGACGATAGTTGTAACTATGATTATAAAATATTTATAGCCGTATTCTCGTGTCTATATATGATACAGCAACGGGGCAAGACATCACGAAATTTTATAAAATCCACAAGCCAGAGTTTTTTGAATTTAATCTTTTAAATTGTAAATTTTTGTAGTTAAATGAACAAAAACTTTCGGTGCTTTGGGATTCGAACCTGCGTCTTCCGTACCTCGACATTTATCTACGTTCTTTCTATTGCATTTTTGGCAACGCCAAAGCGCCATCTAGCGTGCATCCTTTACAGCATGCAACACCACATTCAACAATCTTTGTACTTTGTAGGATTACTTTTTATTTTTAACAGACTTCAAAAAAGAACGTTTCTCAATTCGACCTTATATGTATATTTTTTGTGTGTTCGCGGATAACTTGGTCGTTTATGAACCGATTTTAAAGATTACTTGTTTTTGTGGGAAAGGAAATATCCCAAGGGTGTTACCATCTAAGGAACATATAAGGATCATATAAGGAACCCCGCATCTGAAGATGACATATATAGGTTACGTGATGACACGTTAAAATAGCACTAAATATATAAAAACATATGGTGTTCGCATCCAGGGCCATGCGGCCCCCATCCTGTACGCCGCGTGGGCGGAGGCCGGCCTCTTCCCGGTGGAGGAGCTGAAGAAGCTGCGCCAGCTGGAGTCGGACCTGGAGGGCCACCCCACGCCGCGGCTCAGCTTCGTGGACGTGGGCACCGGCTCGCTGGGCCAGGGGCTGGCCGTGGCCGCCGGCATGGCCTACGTGGGCAAGTACTTCGACCAGGCGCCCTACAGGTGCGTTGCGCCCTCGTTCCGCTCTGTCCCTTTCTGTTCCCCCTCCCCAGGGCCGTTGAACGTCTAACGCACCCTCCTTGGAAGTCGCCAATGCGGTAGGGCCTCGCAAGTCTTCGCTGTTGCACGGATGAGCACGTCCGCCCGGATGAGTACCACGATCTCGCAGAAGACCCGAGTGCCATGACAAGACATTTGCCATCCTACGGGTGTTGCAAGTTTTAATGGACGGCGTTTATCACTTAAAATCATGTGAACCGCCAGCTCGTTTACCACCGTCTCATGTAAAAAAACAGTTCTCAAACAAAAAAAAATATACATACCATAAATGGTCCATATATTACCTCGGAGGGGTTAATGAATCTGTTTTAAATTCAAAAAAGTACAAACCGAACTGGCTTACTTAGACATACTTGATTTTGTATCGTTGTATTGATACCGTTATACTGATCAAAAGAGTTTCATTTTACCCTTCCGACTAGACTTAATTTGCTTCATGGCCGACACATAAGCATGTTTTGAGTTTATTGTGCATAGACTTGTATAAGTAAATACTTTACGAGCCACAACAATATCTACCATCGATTGGAATGGTAATGATGTAGACAAGATCCTTTAACAACATTCGTTAACGAATGACGTCAGTTTAGCATACCGTTAACTATTTACAGAAACGCTAATTTATCCTCTACATAACCTGGCCAGGTAAAATTGTCAAGGTACTTGATTGAGTTGAATAAAACTATTTAAATTTATTATTACTATTTATTTAAACGGATTTTATCGATTTATTATTTGAAATTCCCGAACTTTTCATCGTCACGGCACGTATAAAATATCTTGTATCTTGTATTAACTGATGTTTTTGCTTTCAGTCCCGAGACTATTAAAGCTTCATCTGACGCAGAACCGATGGGCTAGCCAGAACCCACAGGTTTGGGCCCTCCGCTGTAGGTAGGGCCACGCATGTGCTCATGCGTGCGTTTAACTATGGTGTGTCATCTAAGGGCCATCGAGGTCGTGGTTCGGACCGAAACCCCGATGGCCGTCGACTGTGCAATTAGCTAATCGGTGGCTGGGGGCGGTGAGAACCGCCCCGGAACGCGGGTGTACCTTGTGTACGCGTTGTGTTGGTCTCGCCGTGCTCGGAGGCGAGGGCGAACTAGTGTGTTTGTTGTTGCACTAACTGTGGGTGTAGTGTTGTCCGGCGGGACCCCCGGCAGTGGTTCCGGCGTGTCTAAGTCTCCTTCCTCGACCGGGTCGATTAGGACGTTTCGCGGGCGACGCTTGTTGACGTTCGCGTTTTTGTCGGGTTGGTAATTTGCTGCGCTTACCACCAGAGGGCTGGGATGATGTTCGGCTCTATCAAAGAACCGTTTGGTCAGGTCTTTAAAATATTCGCGAATCGTCGGGAGTCTGCAATCGCTGTGCAGGTCGACGTTGCGTTGATACCACTGCGCACCGGTTGCGCGGCGGATGAACTTATTTTGTACTATTTGCAACTTGTACAAGCGAGTAGGGTGCGTGTGGGCGAAGGTCATGCATGCGTAAGACATAATAGGTCGTACGCAGGTCTTATATAATAATAATTTGTGCCTTAAGGGCATTTTACTTTTAGCGTTAGTTAAGTTGTGTAGCCGGCCGGAGACGAACGCGGCTCTATTGCGAACGTTATTAATGTGCGTAGTAAATGACATACGCGAGTCGAAAGTGACTCCTAAGTATTTGACCTTTTTCTCCCAGGGGAGCGGTTGGCCATAAAGGGATATTTGCCCCAACTTTCTGCATTGACGAGGGCCATTATAAAGATGTGACGGGTAAGTACTTCGTGTGAAGTGAATCGCCACACTCTTTTCGGGATTTATTTCTATTCTCCATTTGCGGAACCAATCGCCGAGGCGGTCGGCAGCGCTTTGGAGTCGAGTGGTTAGTTGTCTAAGGTTGCGGTCTGAATAAAAGAGCGCCGTGTCATCCGCGAAAAGCGCGAGATTGACGTGGGGGTCTTTAGGTATATCGCTCGTGTAGAGCGTAAAGAGCAAAGGTGAGAGGCAGGAGCCTTGTGGTACGCCGGCGGTGAGGCGGCGGCTTGTGAAGAGGGTGCTTTCAACTCGATATCGAAAAGAGCGGTTCGACAGGAAGGCCTGGATGGTGTGTACGAGCCTATCTGGCACTTTGAGTGTGTACAGCTTGTAAAGCAAGCCGTTGTGCCAGACCTTGTCGAATGCTTTTGCGACATCGAAGAAAAGAGCCCCTGTACTAATATGTTTAGGGTGATTTAGGCCTTTTAGGATATGTTCCGTTAGGCGGAATAGTTGATCGGGACAGGAATGTCTAGCTCGAAAGCCGAATTGTTCCGCCGGCAGAAGGCCGTTGGAAAACACGTGCTCATTGAGCCTGTTTAATAAAAGCCGCTCGTAGAGCTTCCCCAGGCAACTGAGGAGGCTGATGGGACGATAACTAGAGGGCTGGTTGGCTGGTTTATTAGGCTTGCGAATGCCGATAACCCTGGCTTCTTTCCAGTCGTCCGGAAAGGAGCAACTGGAGAGTAAAGTATTGTAAATGGTCGCCAGTAAACAGATAAGCGGCCCAGGGAGAGCTTTAAGAATTTTGTTACTAATATTATCTGGGCCCGGGGCGGATTTGGGTTTTAAGTTTTTAATAATATCTTGAACCTCTTCGGGGGTCACTGAATTCAAAGGATCGCCTTCCGGTGGAAGCGCAGCCCTAATCTCGATTACGCGGTCCACCTCCGTTAGGTGGGCTGTATCGATGTGTTCGCGCGATGGCGTACATTGCTGCTCTAGGTTGTCCGCAAGGCATTCGGCTTTTTCGGAGTCATCTAGGGCTACTGAAGCGCTATTAGGTCTAACTAACGGCGGTAGAGATTCGCGGGGGTCTGCTTTCGGACTGCGGACCAACCGCCAGTAGGCGGTGTGCGATGGCTCGATGTCCTCTAGGAGAGTGTCCCACGTTGTATGTCGGTGTTCCGATACACGATCTTTGACTTCTAGCTGAAGGCGTCGAAGTAGGGTTCGGTTCGATTCCGATCGGTATCGATCGAAAGCGCGTTTGGCTGCATTTTTCTGCCTAATTAGGAGTCGCAGATCGGGCGGAAAGTTAAACCGTCGATCACCTGACAGTTTAACCGTCCGTTCCGAGTCTGCGACTGTGGAAGTGATGGTTTCTCGGAGACTTGCTATCGCTCGATTTGCGTCATCGAACGTAGCTATCGTCTCGGGTAGGTCGACTAAGTCCTGGGGGTCCAAGGCCTTGAGTTTGACCTCAAGACGATGCCAGTCCACTACGGATTTGGTCGGAGGGACCGCGCCGGCGTTCTGGCCCAGTTTACACAGGACGGGCCTGTGATCTGAGTCTAGTTCATGGATTGTCTCTATCGACTCGATGTCGAGCGAGACCTCCTTGAGTAACATGATATCTAGGATACTCGGTGTCGCGTGTTGGTAGTTGTCCACCGTAGGATACCTAGTGGGAGTCGCAGGAGCAATTATGCTAAAGTTTAAATTATCGGATAAGCTAAAGAGATGCTTTCCGTTGTTATTTGGGATGCTGTGGATGTCCCATGAGCCGTGTTTGCAGTTTAGATCTCCTGCAATTATTACGGAAGGGCCTAAGTTGAGTAGCGTATCTAGGTCGCTTTGTAATAAGGTTTTGTTCCCCGAGAGGTAGGCTGAGACTAGTACAAGCGGCCTATGGCCGGTGAGCGCTAACCTACACGCGGATGCCTCTATATGGCTTAGCTCTGGAATGTCGAGCGGGCTACAGTGCAAGGACCGTTTGTAATAAATTAAGGTGCCTCCCAGACGGTTTGCTAACCGGTCGTGGCGGACTATGTTGTAGTTTGCGATTCTGGGATCGCGTACACTAGGTTTTAAGAATGTCTCTTGCACTAGAAAAATATCTACGTTATAATCGCGAAGGAATTCCGCGATTTCGTCCCTTTGACCCTTTATGCCGTTTGCGTTGAAATACGAAACAACCAGAGCCCGAGGTTTTGTTCTACCTGCGGTTGTACTTCCCATTAAAGTTTTTTATGAGTTCTAACTAACGACGCGGCGGAGCGCGGTTTTATTGCGCGGACTATTAAGTTTATGGTTGGCTTGTAAATGCCCAGAGGGCTTCTACAAGCATTTTATGTTCACTAATGGCTTTAAATCGCGCGTTGCCAGATGTGACGGCCGCTATTTTAGCGGACAATACGGCGAGTTCTTTTCTATTAATGCGGTCTAATAAGGCGCAGATGTTGGCAATTTGGGCGAACGGGTCGTCCTTGTTTTCGGCGAAAACCGACGGTGTCGACTGCACCTGCGGCGTCGGCGCCGTTTGATAGGCGGGCTGCGATAGAGTGATTGGTCGTGAGGCGACCGGGGGCGCAACTACCTGCGCGGCCACCTGCGGTTTCGCCCAGGCGTTTACGACGGGTACGGGCGCGGGAACGTATTTCACGGGCGCGGGTTTGGGCAAAGTAGATTTCGCGGGAGCTTTTCTCGCGGGAGTTTTTGGGGCCTTAGCGCAGCCCCTGTAGCTAGCCGGGTGGCCGGTGGTATGACAGTTAACGCAGTCCGGTGGATCTGCGCAATCTTTTGGCCGCGTACAGTCGGGCGTGCCGTGGTCACCGGTGCATTTGACGCACCTAGGGTGAGCGAAACAATTATTAGCCGTGTGGCCATAGTGTTGGCAGTTGTGGCACTGCGCCACAACTCCCGATCTTCGCGGGGGCTCGATCACGAGGTCGCTGAGCCCACAGACCCTCTTCAGGTTGAAGATGGCCTTACCTTCCGGGGTAGGGTCAAGTTCAACCATCACCATGTCCATAGGGACACGGGTTCTGGGGTGTCTGAGGCGTCGGACGGCATGCACAGGGTATCCCTGAGTGCGGATGTCGGTTTTCGCCTTGTCGACATCCGACTCTTTGGGGACGCCCTTGATAACTACCCGAAGCTTGCGTTCTTCGGGCAAAGAGTAGGTGTGAAAACCTATCTTATTTTCGCGCAAGTATTTCGTTACGCGGCGGAAATCGTCCGTTGTGTCAAGGTATACGCGGATACCCATTTGTGTATTTTTCGACCGGGGGTCGCGGATATTGTGGCGTTCAAACCACGAAGAAATTTGGTGCCACTTAGCCTTCTCCTGAATGATGATGGGTGGAGGAGGCTTTATTTTTCGCTCGGAGGCGAATTCGGGCATCGGTTTAGCCGCCGCAGCCGCCTTTTTGGCGGGCGTCGCGGTGGGTTGGTTAGTTGAAGCGGCCTCGCATTCGGGGTCGCTGTCAGCAGCGGGGCGTTTTTTGCCCTTCTTACGCGACTTTACGACGGTGAAGCCGTCGACGTTCGCGTTTTCAGCGGGGGTCGTTTCGACCTCCATGTCCGATCCGCCGTCCGATTGTGAGTCGGGAACGACGGCGCGGAAGGGGGCCGAGATGGGATGCGGAAGGCGCGATGGGTACGATCGCGGCGGCGGAGGTCGACGCGACTGGCTTTTCTTGTGTCGCTGAAGGCGACGCATTAACGGGCGCTGAGAGCGCTGGAGATGACGGCGAGGCGACTGCCGGTGAAGCCGGGCTGTCGCTGGCGAACTCGACGACTAAACATTTTTCTTTCGCGAACGCGAGAAAGTTTGCCCACACTTCGGGACATCGTTGGCGAAGGAATTCCTCTAGGAGGGAACCCATTTCGAGCGCTTGAGCCTTTGGGGCTTGCGCCCCGTCGGCGTGTAAGTTACTAAATAGGCCTCCCCACCTTGCGGCAGGGAGGTGTGTGCCTAAAATAACAACTAATCCGCCTGCGCTTTAGGTGCGCTAGGGTGGGTACCTAGCTGTCGCCTATCGCAACAAGCACACAGTTATTAAATAAAAACAATGCCGCCTCTGAGGCGAGAAGTGTGTATAGAATTCTACTTACAGAACAGGAACCTGCCTACGAGCACAACACTAACACTAAACTACTGCACTGCTTGCACAAAGATTTAAATTGCAACCGAAGTTGCGAGTAGCGTCTAATTCGGGTGGCATTAGCCCTCCGTCTTAGAGAGAGTTCCGTTCCGTACGAGAGCACGAAGCGGAATCGTCACGTATAAAATAGTATCATTTAAATATGTATGATTATTCTTGCAAAAACAAAAAAACCAATCAGTGAAGGTTGTGTCTATTCTAAATATTTGTGCTTTGGAACTTGATTGCAACTCACTACTATTTCGTGTGTGGTTTTGATCCCTCTGTTGTTTTTATGGGACCATATATATGGCAATTGAGGAGGCGTCTAGAATCACTTAACCTTAACTGATCACATGCCCCATAAACAATGAAATCACCCCGAGTCTTTCGGGATCGTAAGGATCTGAGTAGAGCTGTTAGAAGTATAGCAACGGCCTATATAATTATATCCCCTGTCTGGGCATAAGCCTCCTCTGTACAGAGGGTATTAGGGCATAGTCCATCAAACAACCTTACTTCACATATCATCGAGATATTTTTTGTTATTATTTCTATGTCTCGGTGGTGTCGTTGCTAGACTTCTTATTGGCTTCTACGTCGGGGGTCGTGGGTTCGATTCCCTCACGGGACAAGTACTAGTGTGACCCACAGATAATTGTAACAGTATTAAGGGCTGGAGGAAGGTAGCTTTGTATGGTATTATATGGAATTAAAAGCGAGCGCCCGGTTATGAGCTGTGACGCCTCAGTGTCCGAGCTACGGGTACAGTGTGGGATTGGTGCGAATGGAGCTGTTAACGTCGCGTTAACTCGCAGGGTGTACTGCCTGGTGGGTGACGGCGAGGCGGCCGAGGGCAGCATTTGGGAGTCTCTGCACTTCGCCAGCCACTACAAGCTGGACAACCTCGTCGTCATCTTCGACGTGAACCGCCTGGGCCAGTCCGAGCCCACCTCGCTGCAGCACCGGGTGACTAATTCTGTCTTATCCGTTTATAGGGCCCATAGTGATATGACATCATTGACCCACAAAGAACCATCTAAATAACGTCAGCTTTCCAATAAAAAAAACCGCACCATAATCTGACCATTCGTTTAGAAGCTATGATGCCAAAGATACACAGAGACAGACACATCAAACTTATACGCACTTCTTTTACGCCGTGGGTTAAAAACGCGCCCAATTAAGGAAATCATGATTTTAACTTTGTCAGGAAACTACCTACAATCTTTTTCGACTTTTAAAACAAGGGCCAATTTCAAAAAGCTATATAAAGTATACTTGTAACTCTTTCACTCCATTTGTTTCATAATTGCACAAATCTTTATTTTACACTTCATAAAATTGATTTATATTATAGTAATCCTTTTTGTCAGCAGAGTAAGTAGATAGGATTAGTCAGTGCCCGTTTTGTTGTTAAAAGTTGGCAGTGCGATTGCTAACCTAGTTAATCAAAATAGAAACGAAAATTATTTGTGTAAAATCCCTACATATGCATATAAATAACATTGGACATTGATAAGATACCTTAAAGTCTGACAGTGGCACCTTTGACTGTGCATAAAAAAATTATAATGTATATACACATAACTTATACGCCTGTTGTAAAGTTTTTTATTATTTGCTATGTCATTAAATTACCGCATTATGTTTTTCTTAGAAAGCAGGAATACAATATTGCATTAAACATGTGACATTAAAAAATTTAAAAAACAACTTAATAAAACAATTTAATACTTTTTTAATTGAGAGAAATGATCTTTTTGAAGTGATAATTCTTTGAGGCGCGTTGAGCACTTTTTTGAGTAAACAAATATTAGAAATCTTGTCATCGTCACTGAACAGTTTTTATATATTTTAATATACCTATATATTAATTATTTTTAATTTGAAAATAATCATGAACAATTATTTTAATATTTTAATATAATAAAGTATTCTGTGAGGAAAGGATTACCCAATCTATGTTACTGATTAAACTATCCTTGCAAATTGTCGTCCAGAGTACACCAGGCTTATGCAGGTTATATTATGATGCATTCCTTGGGGAGGCTCCTTTCCTATTTCCATTATCTCTTTTCTTTTGCTCTCCAATATTCACATTGATATAGTTCTATACATTACAATAACAACCAACAATCAGTCTACTGCCGATAATTCTTAAGTATGCTATGAAAAGGTGGCGAAAAGGGTATTGAAGCGTACAGTGCAAAATTGTTTAGGTCACCCGCTCCCCTTAACAGTACATTACTGTCTCCCCACCAGATGGACGTGTACGACGCGCGGCTGAAGGCTTTCGGCGCGAACTCCGTGGTGGTGGACGGCCACGACGTGTCGGAGCTGGTGAAGGCGTTCGACGCGGCGGCCTCGGTCAGCGGCAGGCCCACCGCCATCGTGGCCAAGACCTTCAAGGGCAGGGGCTTCCCCGGCATCGAGGACTCCGACAACTGGCACGGGAAGCCCCTGGGCGCGGAAGGGGACAAGGTCATCAAGCACCTGCAGGCGCAGATGAAGAGCCCCGCGCCGCGGCTGGTGGCGCGCCCGCCCGCCGCCGCCGCGCCGGCCGTGCACCTGGCCGACGTGGCGCTCTCCTCGCCTCCCGCCTACGCCGCTACGGACCGCGTAGCCACGCGCCTGGCCTACGGCACCGCGCTCAAGAAGATCGCCGACACCAACATGAGGTGCGTAGCCGACCCTATAGGCGTCGTAGCGCCGTAGCACGGGCCGCCTACGAGGGGCGCACGCGCCTCGTGCCCTCTACGCGGGTCCGTGCTAAAGCGATCGTTTGTCGTACTCGCACGGCCGCCGTCGGTCGATGCGGCCAGTAGCATTCGGACAATTGATTCTCTTTACTTATTTTGTTGGATAAATTCCACTATTCTATTATTAAGTAATTAAAATTATATAATTTGAGAATAGTATAGAAATAAAATTTATCTTCATTCGTAAAAATTGCTTATCAGTAGGGATGGAATATGTGTATATATATATATTAGCTTGCTTATAATAAAGAAATACTCTTGAATATTCCAGGGTGATCGCTCTCGACGGCGACACGAAGAATTCTACGTTCAGTGACAAACTGCGCAACGCCTACCCAGAAAGGTGAGGTCCTCATTTGCGAAGTAAAGGCTAATAAAATAACGTCTAAAAAGTATTAAAACCTCCTTACCGAATTTGCTACACTGAATCTTTTTTACAAAGATAGTTGAAATGGTACTAAAACAAAATACAAAAAATGTTCCTGTGTACTTATTTACACACCTAAGAAGTTAAACTTCTTTGACGTTACAAAAGAGAAATAGCTAAAAATTTTATTCTATGTATTCTTTTATTTGTGAAAAAATACATTAAATGCAATTTATAATGGTTTAATTAAATAACTTCGAATGTCGCTCATCGAAAAGTTCACTGTCACCACTTCAAAACGCGCCAAAAGACGTATACCTTTTAAAAGAAGTAAAACCTCAGTACAGAATTTGGTATCTTGAATCTTTTTTTTTTTTTTTTTTTTTCAATGTGAGAAAGTGGCGGTTCACCTAATGTTAAGTGTTAACCGCCGCCCATGGACATTTGCGATATGCGTTGCCACCTTTAAATAGAGCGGGCCCGGCTACCTCCTCACCAGACGAACAGTGTAGCGAGGCCCCACCACCGTAGCCTTGCAACTGCAACAGGTTCGTGGAGTGCTTCATAGCGGAGCAGAACCTGGTGGGCGTGGCCACCGGCGCCGCCTGCCGCGGCCGCACCGTGGCCTTCGCCTCCACCTTCGCCGCCTTCTTCACGCGCGCCTTCGACCAGGTGCTGCTCTGACGACCTCTCGCTCGCACGCCGTAGAGGGCGCTAGTGCTACTAATTTATTATGGCCAATGATATATTATATACAGCTAGTTTTTCGCTCGCGACTTTGCTCGCGTTGAAGCCCGTCTTTAGTAAACCATCACTGCCCATAGTAACATTGTTGATTTTATACCTAAATAAGCTTGTATAATGGTATCACAAAAAAAAAAACTAAAAAAGCGATAATGAGACCATAGAGTTTTTTGTTAATTATTTTCTGTTCAAGTCTATTTTAGTGATCCTATGGTAGTTTTTTTGATGTTTCATAACAGCTTAAATGATCTATATCGAATAATCGTAATTTTGGTGTTGAACGTGGTTTCCATCGGGCCAATCGCTCAGATCCGCATGGGCGCCATCAGCCAGTCCAACATCAACCTGGTGGGCTCGCACTGCGGCGTGAGCATCGGCGAGGACGGGCCCTCGCAGATGGGCCTCGAGGACTTGGCGCTCTTCCGCTCCGTGCCGGACTGCACCGTCTTCTACCCCTCGTGAGTGTGGAGTGTAATCTCCTCGCGGTGCATTGGCGCCCTGCAACATATCACCCAACCCTCTCCGGCAGAGACGCCGTCGCCACGGAGCGCGCCGTGGAGCTGGCCGCCAACACGCGCGGCATCTGCTACATCCGCACCTCGCGCCCCGCCACGGCCCTGCTCTACCCCAACGGCGAGACCTTCAAGGTGCCCGTCTCTTTATATATACGACCATCAGATGAACAAGCAGTTTCATTTTTGTCACCTGAAAACGGCCTATGACAACTTTGCCACTATCCTGGCTGTCTAGTGTCATTGTGGACTTCATCATTAGTGAGCTCCTTGTTTCCTTTAACACATAATACCTGGTTTGTCTTAATGCAAAACAGTATTATTCAGTTACAAAAGAAGAGTATGTTTATCATTTACTTTTTACTCATAAGACAAGCTTTGCTTAGTTTAGGACTAGATAACATTGTATAAAAATGTTCTCTGGAAAATATTGAACTCCTGGACCAATTGAGATCGGAAAAGTAACGTGATGTGAACAATTGATATGTTTCACAGGTAGGACAAGCCAAGATAGTGCGCGAGAGCGCGGCCGACCGCATCCTGCTCATCGGCGCTGGAGTCACTCTTCACGAGGCCGTTTCTGCCGCTGACCAACTGCAAAAAGAAGGTCAGGCATAACCTAACGATAATTAAAAAATATATACTTAGCTGCTGATTTGACTGTATTTACCGTGCTCAATATTTTAATTTTCTAAACGAATCATTAGTTTCCTCTTCTCTATTATAATCTCGTTTCGATGTTCTATCCAGGGATAGATTTGATTAAGGCACCTTACGAAGCTATATACATAATGTCCAGGCGTGGGCGCGCGGATCCTGGACCCGTTCACGGTGAAGCCGCTGGACTCTGCGGCCGTGCGCAGCCACGCCAAGGCGGTGGGCGGGAGGGTGCTCGTCGTCGAGGACCACTACGAGGCCGGTGCGTTCTCCTCTCTATTGGGCGTTTTGCATGTGCTGTGCTAGGGCAACGCGACCGTCTTCACTATCTCACAAAAGACCAGTGGGAAATGAAAACTTTTGTATTTCGTATGATGATTGAGATAACCCATCTTATTAAAAGGTGCCAATACATTTGCAACTCTGTGGGTGTTGCAAACTCAATGGGTGAACTGCCAGCTAGTTCATCGCCTTCTTGCATAAAAAAGGCGTTTACCGTGAGGAGTACCTGCATTATACAGTCGTGACAACCGACTTGACACTCACTTTATATCAATATAATCAAACAATCTGAATTGGAATTCGAATTGCCAGCACCGATGATATTGCTTACTTATCACGTGCTCAGCGATGATGTTTAGCGTGCACTGGGTACAATGAAGTGGTGGGCAGGCGGGCTGGGCGAGGCGGTGCTGTCGGCGCTGCGGCTGGAGCGCGCCGTGGCGGTGGAGCACCTCTGCGTGAGGGAGCTGCCGCGCTCGGGCCCGCCGCAGGCGCTGCTGCGCCGCTTCGGCATCTCGGCCGACCACGTGGTGGCCGCTGCGAAGCGGCTGCTCGACGCCTAGGCCCCACCCGCCCCTCGCTGCGGGGATGTCAAATGCCAACAACTCAAAATACTTGACATACTGTTTTTAGACAATGACATTCCTAGGACCTACATCCGATATATCGATATATCGAGGCCGATATCGATATATTTCTTCACTCTCGACATCCCCACTTCCCTCCTGCCTCGGGACCAGCACAAACTACTTTTAGACTGGATTTAGATCACTAGGTAGAGACGCGCGCGGAGGGCACTTTTTATATTCCTATATAGGTGTAGGTGTGGACAATAATATAGATTAGGCCCTTGCCCCCGTTCGTTCCCAGTGTTTCGGGACCGGTTGACGCTTTCAAGCCCTCCGCCCGTTGCCGTCTATATTTTTGCATTTTGCACATTTTACAACTATTATACTATTATTATATTGATACTTTTGAAGGTTTACGAATTGTTGTTCATGAGTGTGTTGTTTGTTACATTTGTTGAATAATCGCAAATGTTGAAATTGGTTAAAATCTTTATTGGTACATATTACATTCCTTTTTGATTGCATTTTCTCTCATTGAAATCACAGAATCATTGAGTTTTTTTTAATAAAGTTTATTTAATATAAAAGTGTTTCATTTAAATAACCATAACAATAAAATTATTATTAAATATCTGTACAAGTTATAACAACAACATATTTGCTTAGGCATAATGACTAGAATAACTCGCGATATATCACTATTTACAGGTGTGTTAAAATATAAAATTTTATTACAAAAAACAACAAAAACTAAACACAATCAGACTGTAGTGAAAAATTATTCTGCTAATCCCTTAGTCTCTGGCAAAATGTGTACAAAATAGAGGCAAGTCATTAGTGTATTGCATACAATAGGTACTTAATAATAATTGCATCTGAGGTTTTTTCTCATCATCCAAAGTATTACTTAAACTATTTAATATATTTAACTTAAACATTAGTATAAGATTTCGATAGGTAACAGTATAATAGGTGCTTAAACAACAAACGTTTTGATTAAAAAAAAATTTTTTTTCCATCGAATTATTAAAAAGAGAATAAATGTAGGGGCAGATTTAAATATTTTGGCTCGCTATTTTTGTAAATTTAATTAAATATCTAACTGATAACGATTTCACGAATATCAGAGCGGCATTTAGATCCTATAGTTTGGTTCTCTGTGAAAGAAACACCGTTCGTACACAATTAAATTAGGCATAAATATGTATTGACTTCATGCACATTCAGAAAACCTTAAAAATACAGTTTGTACTTGCATATTTCGATCTAACTCATATCCGTGTTAAGTAAATTCGTCATATGAGATTATTATTTACTTTGTTATTACAAAAAGAAATAAGATTTTTAATGTTACAAATTGGAACAGATATAAACAGTATTTTTGTGTGACAGATCTGCTATGCATCATATACGAGTAACTCATTGATACGTCCCGTATTAATCACACCAAGCAAATGAGAGTATATTAAATCTGAATATTGATGAAAATTATTAATTGTCTAGTAACAGTAAATGTTTATTTTGTACTAATATTGTTGGTCACATTGGACATTGTACTTCTGTTAATACGCGGCCATTATCGCCTATGTGCTTATTGAACATCCGACCTACATGCAATGAGTTAATAGCGACTCTACTGTTGATACAATAACACACTTAAGACACATTGTTACGGACGGACGGTTGTTCCGAAGGTGTAAGTTAAACTTTTTTTCCCTAATTCGGTTATAGTTATAAATGCATCCGATCACCACCACGGTGGCTTCATTACATCCTCTTTGGTTGGTGCGTGCAGAAGCACAGACCCGCACTTACACGAACAGACACACTAACCCACAAAAATTAAAAATCTTTCTTTCTCGCTCGCACCAGAAATACATTCGAATATAGTCTATACACTGCCGTGTAGGACACTTCAGCCCCATTCGGTGGCACCACCCGGCTTAGCTTGTTGCTCCCCTGCGTTGTCTTCGCTCGGCCTCTCGTCCAGCTCTCCGGGAAGGTAATCCTTCCAGCTCCTGAACAGGTATCGCGTGAATTTCCTAAGTTGCCTGAACTTGCAATAGGTGGCCCCCTCCGCCGACTGAAGCTGCTGGGTCTGTATTAGAAACCCTTTCTCCTTGAACGTCTGCTCCAACTTCTCCCGCTGTAACGTCTTTCGAGACTTCCTTTTCTTCTTGTTCAGGTCGTCTTTACTTGCCGAGGGAGAGCTCCGCTCGTCCGGCTTCATAGCGGTGCAAGTTTCTGTGGGCATTTCACTCCTTACATTGCTATCCTTCGGCGCGCTTTCGTAGCTTTTGTTGCCTTTGCTGCCGGTGCCGCTGTAATATCTGAAGTTGCCACCGGAGTCGACGGATAACATCTTCTTCTCCTGGAGCGACGGCTTGGAACCACCGGTGAATTTGAATTTGCAAATGCTGACTTCCGTGGTCGGGGTCGACGAGCTGCTCTTTGCGGGCACGGGGGGGATAAAAATCGCCGATCTCTTTCTCTTCAGCGGCCCCTGCGCGGGATTGGGCGAGGCTCTCTTCATGTTCGCGCCGTCCGGGCTCTTCGCCTCCTCTACTCGCTTGATGACTTTGGGGTCCAGCAGCTCGGAAATCTGCTTGAGAACGAGTTTCCTGCCGTCGGGCGAGTGGGGCTCTGTGGGCTCGGCCAGCCTCTGGCAGCAGAGCAGCTGCGCCTGCAGGGCCAGCGGGTGGGGCCAGAACACGTAGCCGTCGGGGCCGGCGCTGGACCGCGCGGGCTCGGACAGCGCGGGCGAGACAGTCCTCGCGCGGCTGGACAGCTCCGGCGAGCTGCTCGCCGTGGCCGGCGCCACGTTCGTGTTCCTCTGGATCACGGATATGGCGTTGGGCTGCTCGCTTCCGGGGCTCTCGCGGCCGGAGCTGTCCGCTTCGGACTTGACCTCGGGCGGCGACGAGTAGATGTTGCCGAACTTCTTCTGTATCTGTATCTTGAGGTCGAGCAGGTCTCGGATGCACAGGTTGAGCGGCTCGTCGTCGCTGTGCAGCGGCCCGGCGGCGGTGGCGGGCGCCGCGGGCATGGGCTCGTCGGGGCTGCGGAACCTCGGCGGCGACTGGCCCTCCAGCCGCCTCCTGTTCTCCTGCGATAGCTTCCGCTCCAACAGACTCGAGATTATTTTGTTCTGCAGGTCCGTCTTGGGCGTGCCGGCGGCCGCGTCCGCGCCGCGGAAGGGCGGGCACATGCTCGGCTGGCCGGGCCGCTCTTGGGGCGGCGGCTGCCCCGGCACCACTGTCCCGTAGTTCTCGTATATGAGGTGGCAGATGTCCGCCTTCTTCGGCTTCCTGCCGCGGCGGGGCTTGGAGTTGTTTAGCGTCATCTCGCCCATGTAGGGCAGGTCTTCGTAGGTCACGATCTTGCTGGGAGCGATTGCCGGATTTCTCTTTTTCTTCTCCTCCGCTCTGGGCTTAGCCGCCATGTTCAATACAGAGGTCACTTGGGGAACGGTCAACGTTCCGGTCTCATTCTGTATGCCGGCAAGCCGCTGCGCCCAAATCTTGAACGTTTCGTTGGTGAAGTTGTTGATGTCCGCGTTGGGTTCCGGTTTGGGCTTGTCGGCCGTTTTCTTCTGCTTAGCGTTGGCTTTCTGCAGGCTCTGCTCGTAGTGGTCGAGGTACTCTTGCGGCAGCGCCTGGTGATGGAACTTGAGCTTCCATCGGTTCTTCTGGCGGTTGCGCGCGTGCTTCGGCTTTGCTTGCTCCTGCCTATCGGCGCGCTCCTTGCTCGTCGATAGCAACTGCTGCCGTAGCAGCTCCTTGTTTTCGGACGTCCTGAAAAGAAAGAAACATTCTACGTTAAGCCCAATAGTTCTGTTACCGATGTGAAGTGAAAGTAAATGCACTTGTTTATTTCATCCTTCGTGATAAATGGGGTAACTGTAGATAACCGGACCCCGTTCTATTAGAGATAAATGACGCACAGGTACTGGAGATATCCATATGCGGCGGTTATCACGTAGCATTACCTTGCCCACATGATCAGATCAGTCATACCTAAGCAAGAATTATGTATTTTGATTCTAAATTGCCCTTCTAAAGTCATAAAAACTATATTAGGACAAAGCACGATAGATGCGGTATGTTATAAAACGTATGCTTAACCAAATCTTGCATATTTATGATAGCAAGAGAGTAATATATAGTAAGAAGTAATCTATAGTCTGTTTAATCTAGTCTGTAAGGGAGCGGGGAGCTAACCTGGGCGCAGTGGAGGCGGCGGGGGGCGCGGGCGGCGCGGGGCTGGCGGGGCCGCTGCCCGCGCGCCGCATCACTTCTGCAACAACGCACAACACAATTCAATTGTAGCACATTATCGCTCATAATTGTTTCTCTTCGTTTTAAAACGACTCGCACATATAGGAATGATTATCGAGTCGAACGAGACTCGACAGAGTGGCATACTTGACCAATCTGTTTCTTTTTTAGTTCAGGTAATACGATATACGCACAAAAAATATTCAACTGATATGGCTACGGCAAAACTTTTAGCCTTTACGTTTAACCTAAATATTTTAAGCACCGTGGTAAAATGTTTAATTAACTTTGTTCATGATTGTCTATGCTACGTTTGCTATAGGCATTGCTCTTTCTTCCGAATGGTGCTGTAATATAGAAACCACAGTTTCGAAAAACAAATATTCCACATAAATCCATTAAATTATTCATAACTTACGCGATAAAGAACGAAATCTAATTAATAACGAGTGAAACTGAACTGGTATTCTCTCAGTTTGGCCATCTATTGGCAACGTGTGCTGTTGGTTGTAAACTATAGATTGCAATGTACGTATAAAGGCGCGCTATGTAACATGTCGGCCGTAGCTCGAAATAGGGGCCGGGAGAGCGTCCCGACGCCCGTTATGTCGCAACGCGCCGAAGCTTGCGTAAGCGGCTCAAGTTTGCCGATCGCTTTCTTAGAAACGCACCCGAATCGTCTGATGGACTTTTTACTGCGATCGCGGAGATATACGTCGCGTTGGTCATATTTATAAACGTGATTGTTTTTGTCATCGTTAATTTAAACATACTTATGAGCTTACACAATGCATACGTTTTATAATAGACGCGCATGATTCGTACGTTTTGAAAATTTTGCAAGAAAACTTTACTTATGATACGCATCGTCGCAACTCTTATTTAACATAGTATGCTTTTCGTAGTATCACTGTTATAGTTATCGCGTCATTGCACTTCTTTATGTGAGAGTTGCAAATGACTCGATAGTTAAACTTTTTGGTTATGTTAAAAGTTGACAAACAAGCAAGTGGTTCACCTTATGTTAAGTGATCACTGAAGCTACAACACAACATCTGAAGCTTGACAAGATTGACATCCGTTGCCAGCTTTAAGGAAGTGAACCCGGTTTCCTAACTCACGAGACGAAACGCGAAAGTACAACAATTCGTGCAACAACAGAAGCCACTATGAAACTTATACTTAAAAGCGCAGACCTTGAAAGTTTCAGTACGTTGGCAACCTTAAGGAGGATTTGTCCCGGTAACCTCACAAGATTAAAGACAAAAACCTAAATCCTTTCCCTTTACGCCGGTAGTCTGGTGACGAGACGGGCCCACCTATTTAGGTAAACAGGCTTCATGGTTCAACCTCAATAAACAATTACTTCTAATTAATCTGATAATTTTGCAAGTATACATCACAGGCAATATTATATTGAGCAATGACTGAGCAAGAATAATTAGAGCGCTCTCTGCTCTCCCATATATTTTTCCGATTAGCTTGCGTCATTAGTGAAACTCCAGTGTTAGTCTAAATCTGCATGCACGCAACGATCTCTGATCTATAGTAGACATTTAAAAATAATTTATTAGACCTACGCGAACAGCGCACTCCTTATTTCCATCTAACCTCATATTAAAACAATGTCAAGATGTAGATGCTATCAAGTTTTCAAATATTGTGAAAAAAATAATTTTACAAGAACATGACTATTTAATTCACAAAATGAAAATTTAAAAATGGAAAATAATAAATATTAGACTAAAAGTGTCCGTTTTAATGGTGTATAAAAAATCATTGTCTTCTTTTCCTAACCCGAGTATAGTAACCACTAGGACGAGTATAGCTCTATATCCGCTCTGAATCGCTCTGTATCGTCCAATCAAAGTGAAAATGAAAACTAGCTCGACAAAATTGCTTCCGCTTTGCACGCACGCTATGTGCAAGTAACTTGTACATTTTAACAAAATAAAAGTGAGGTAAAGTAACAGCCTACATATGTCCCACTGCTAGGCAAGGGCCTCCTCTGCACAGGGGGCACAGTCCATCGCGCGGTCCCACTACGGATTGGCGGACTTCACATGCCTTTGAAATTTTGTTGTTATTTCGAAAATATGCATGTTTGCTCAACATATGTTCCTTCACTGTGATATTTCAGCACTTAAAATACATTCTTCCAAAAAGAACTGTCCGATCAATTTATAATATCGGAGCTCGGAATTCACTCAGAGATCTTTTTAAAGTGATTAATATACTCACTGTTGCGTTGCAACACATTTAATTGTGATATGTTATCGTCATAATCGTCATAACCTTAATTATTACCTAAGTAATAGGGACATATATAAATAAAATACTAGAAATAAGGACAAACTTACTACGCTATTGTTTCGTCTGCAAAAAGTAAATAGGTCGTTCATGTGGAATACAGTCCTACAGTCGATATTAAGTCTGCCACTTGATCAATTTAAAGCTAAAATTAAAAGCAAACTTATGGTTAAATTGTATTTAATAACAATAATAATTGAATGAAGACAATTTGAATTTGATCTAGTCTTAATGAAGCGTGGTATGTGTTTATTGTTGCACACAAGATTTGAAAACTTTACTTTAAGAGTGGAACATGATTCTGCATGGACATGTAGAGAAGGAATGTAACTTCTGTCCAATTGAGTTGCCACCGTATAAGATCTTTAAACAGCTCACTTTACCGTTGGCCCGCTCAGTCCGTTTCCTACCAATCGCTCCAGTTGCCGACTGCGAGTCGACTTCCGGAGCAGACGCAAATAGATTCGGCACCGTGAATCACTTTGATGACAACGCGTGGCGTTTCCACTCTATATACGGCATGCGAAACTCGAGATGAACGCCGAAAATAATGAACACGATATGTACAGAGACGACATTCGATATTGAAGAGTCGAACGAAACACGATGACGACAATTTTAAATTCTTTAAACGTGCTTTAATTTAAACCTTCTAGTACTCTACAGGATAAGGCGTTATCCACCAAACAGCCCTACGAGTATAGCAATTCACTTATAAATTATTTTTTTAATTTTCAAATATGGCGATTTTTTTGCAATCGAATGCAGTGTAATTCTACACCTAGTAATAAAACTACGTCATGGGACTCTCAACACGGATTGCTAGAACGTCCCGAAACAGGTCACGATGAGCTAATTTCATGCTTGATGCAACGTAGAAAGCTTGTCGCTTTAAAAGACAAATGTTTTTGCACGAAAGCGAAATTTCGAAAACACTTTGGTGCACTTCAGTTGGATTGGAACCCGTGACCTCATATCACCAATCAATAATTAGAAGCTTGCTCTTTTCTTTACGAACAACTGTTTTTTTACCAACATGTAACGAAATGATAAATCGTGATATTGATACTTGTTATATACAAATAATTAGGAATATGGAATATCACTTTCTAGCTACAAAGTTTTTCTATAAACGAATAGTTACAAAAAAAATAGTCCAAGCTTTTAATGTGGGTAGGTTAATTGGCGTTGAATTATTAATTCTTATTCCTTTGTACAGATTTTAGTGAATAAGTTTCCTGTTTAAAATATTTAAGACGCCTGATTAAGGTAATTTACGTCTTACTTTAATGGTATATGAGATTGGCTCGATATTTTCCTGTAATATATTGAAACAGTAAAGAATTTCTTCCGTAACATTGTCGGTAAACACTAATTGAACTAAATAATATACATCGTGGACCAGTATAAAGAGAGATGTTTCTTAAGTTTTTTACCAATATTTTTCTTAAATTAAGCGACAATTTACTCAGCATTTAACTTGAACGTGATGTGTGTCATCGCTGGCATCAATAACCTACGACGTTTAAGTAATAACCGTATTTCTTGAGACGACACCTAAAAAATCACACGAAAAACATCCTAAATCTGTATTTAGGATTTCCTCTGCGGCTTAAGTCAACAAGATAGTTGCCAGAGACTTCAATAGGCGTTTAATGGCGAAGCTCCACGTGCTCGGCCGACGACTGCGTTAAAGAATCCAATATTTATATACCATACGACAACTAATTGGAACTGACAAAATACTTTTTAGCTTTTTCGTATTATAAGTATTATAATGAGCCAAGTGCAAAGCATTTTGCGGATGTCTGAAGTGACATTTGAAGGTTTTTTTCTTTGTTTTTCATTCTATGGATAACTCTTGATTTAACGGAAGTCTAGAAAAGGCTGTCTGTCGATTGACGACGTAAAGTGGTAAAAAAACTATCAGGACAGTGGCTTTCTATAATATCGTGGCATGCAACAAACTATACGTGTACTATATTAAGCCGGAAAGAATAAGCCAGCCGGAAAAAATGGGTCTTCCTCATAAAGACGTGTCGAAGCAAGTTAAGAAAAGTGAGAACACCGCTGACGTAGCATACAGCCCGGACCTCAAACTATACGTCTTTTTTTATTTCCGAAATTTAAAGATAAATAAACTTAGAGAGAACGCTTTCTACGAAGCTTCCAAAGGTTGCACAAATGTGAAAATTTTTAGGAGTGTTCTTCGAAGAACAATAAATGTATCATAGTTATCTGATATTATTTATCAAATATCGAAAACTTGCGTTACGAACTAAGAAGCTAGCTGAGCTTTGCATTGCGTAACGCTCTTTACATATAAAAGCTTAAATTTATTTTCCACAAAATAAACATGGTAGTACAAACTTACATAATTTAAATAAGCACTGTTCAATACTACATTTATTGATATCATACCATGTTTAAATATTTATAGATTCGAACTATGTTTAAAAGAAACAATATAACATCATAAAACACATAATTTTAAACTGTATACCGCACTGAGCTTGAGCGATACATTACATTTCATTGCCGTATACTGACTTATTCTTGTTGTTTACTGTTTGTTTACTGTTTCTTAGATATAAAATGAGCCCATGATGCGATCGTTGGAACGTTCGAAGTGAAAATATTATAAATAGTCCGCACTTCCTCTTCCCGTATAAAGAACAACTATAAAGAAACAAAAGAATTGTCTAGTCTACAACGTTTACATGAATTTAATAGGAAGCGATATATTGGATGGCAAAAAACCACGATAATTACGTTGATCTCTCCAATAGGTTAATGTTTATTGAGGCCGATCCAGTCAGCGTTCAAAGTCTTACGGTAAAGAGCATATCGCCGTGCATAGTGCACTGTATACAACTGCAGTAGTACGTATGGGGAAATATTCATCATCATCATCATTTCAGCCCGTTTGAGTCCACTGCTGAACATAGGCCTGCATCCATCGACTTCCCGCACATTTGCACAGGTCGTCACTCCATCTAGTGGGGGGTCGTCCCACACTGCGATGGCCAGTACGAGGCTGCCACTCGAGAACCTTTTTTCCCCAACGGTTATTCGGTTCTACGAGCTATATGGCCGGCCCATCGCCACTTCAGCTTGCTAATCCTCTGAGCTATGTCGGTCACCTTAGTTCTACTGCGGATGTCTTCGTTACGAATTCTATCACGCAGAGAAATACCGAGCATAGCCCGCTCCATAGCTCGCTGAGCGACTTTGAGCTTCCTCATACGGCCAGCAGTGAAGGACCACGTCTCGGTTCCGTAGGTCATCACTGGCAACACACATTGATTGAAGACTTTAGTCTTCAAACATTGAGGTATATTGACGAGAAGATTTGCCGTAGTTTCCCGAACGCTGCCCATCCGAGTTGGATTCGCCGATTGACCTCTGCGTCGAAGTTG